GCTGGGATGGCGGGCCCCCGAGCTGGGAGGCGAGAGCTCGCTCACGGACACGCTCCCACAACGGGTAGCCGCGTGCCGCGTGCCGTGTTAGGTGCCATTGGCGAGGGAGGGCGTGTCAGGTGGGAAGAACGGCCGGACGACAGCCTGGTGGGGGCGACCCGCAGCCTGCCTCAGTAGACAGGGAGTCCACAGAAGGAAGCAGCGGTGGGAGATGAGACTGCCCGGGGCTGGCTGGGAAAAGGCCACGAGTGCCCGTGAGAGGGGGGCAAAGCCACAGTCGTGTGGCAGCAGCAGGACGGGCAGGAGGCTGGGACCAACCAGGTACAGTAATGGCGGTGATTGGCCTGTCAGAGGGATGGTGACCCCTCGCAAAGTCCTTATGTGGGGAGCCTAAGGCCCCGCATGAGAATGGGGAGACGGGAGTACCACCCGCTTCCAAGCCCACGCAAAGGCTGCTGGGGATCTGGGTCCGGGCAGAGGTTTCTAGGTAGACTTTCTCCCAGGACACTGAGGCCCTTTTGTCTGCCCACTGGTGGGCATGAAGGGAGGTGCAGTGGGAAAGCATCAGGAGGGGGTGAGTTGTTGGGGGTGGGCCCTGGGACCATTCAGCTTCGCGTCAGAAGGTAGGACTCGGAGGATGCGGAGGGCAGGAGGCGTGGGGCTCTCAACTCCACAAACTCACCCCCCGAGATGGGACCCAGCAGAGACTGGTCCACACTCGTTGCCAGAACCAACTTCCTAAAGCCACCTCATCACGGTCCTCTTTGCTCTGGAAGCTTCACCGGCTCCCCACTGTGCCAGGACCAAACCTACCTCTTCCTTTGGGGTTCAGGGCCCTCCGACCTCCATTCTTCTTCTTTCCCAGTTACCCCACTGAGGCCCCAACCTCTCACCCCTCCTTGGGCGTGGGGCCATCTCTTACCAGCTGTAGACCTGACATGTGCTTCCTGAAGTAGCCACTCCGGCCGTTTCCTGCCGTGTTCGGCCAGTGGGGACAGCCAGGCCCACCTGGGGCAGCTGGGCTATGCGTGGTTCCATCCGTGAGCCTCTGAGGGAAGCCGCCCCAGAGTCCTCCTCTACTCCACCCCCTGCCCCGCCCCGCCCCACCCCAGCAGGCTTGTCTTTCAGCCTTGGAATTCTTTCTTTAACCAAAATATTTTTTAAATATTTTAAAAACTGGTTGCATGGGGACGCCTGGGTGGCTCAGTCAGTTAAGCGTCCGACTTCAGCTCCGGTCATGATCTCAGGGTCCGTGGGTCCAAGCCCCGTGTGGGGGCTCTGTGCTGACAGCTCAGAGCCTGGAGCCTGCTTCGGGTTCTGTGTCTCCCTCTCTCTCTGCCCCTACCCCGCTTGCACTCTCTCTCTCTCTCTCTCTCTCTCTCTCTCTCTCTCTCAAAAGCAAACATTAAAAAAAATATTTTTAAACAAATAAAAACTGGTTTCATTTTATGTTTTTTTTTTCATGTTACAAAGTAACATAAGCCATACAAATGTACAAGATAGCATCTCCTGGTCCCATATCCTGTTAACAATCTTCCAGATTTTTCCCTTATGCAATTTTTGCCTGCTCCCCCCCCCGCCCCCTTTCCTCCTTCCTCCCTCTCTTCCTTTCTGCCTCCATTTTTCTTTAAGTTCTAGCTGGGGGAAGAAATCCCAACACTTTAATATCCCAGCATTGGTGGAAAATCCACAGATCATACACGAATGAATAATTAAAACAGGTACTCAAATACGGAAATTCGGTAGGTTGGAAAGCTCGTTGAACTTCCACAAAAGGCAAACTTGTGTTTTCACATAGACTTAAATATGGCTTAGACTTGAATGCAGAATAAAACAGGTACTTAAAATTGGATTTCTTTCCCCAATTTTTAAGATTATGGAATTTTTTTCATTGTGGCAAAAACCACAGAAGATTTACCACTTACCCATTTGGGTAGTGTTAGGTACATTTATGTTGTCGTAAAACATCTTCAGAACTTTCTTATCTTTCGTGTCCGAAACTCAAAATATGCTAAATGGCCAGGTCATGATCTCATCGTGGTTTGTGAGTTCGAGTCTTGTGTTGGGCTCTGCTGACAGCCTGGAGCCTGCTTCAGATTCTGTGTCTCCCTCTCTCTCTGCCCCTCCCCCACTTGTACTCCGTCTCTCTCTGTGTCTCAAAAATAAGTAAATGTAAAAAAAAAAAAAAGCTTTAAAAAATCTGCTAAATGGCAACTCTGAATTTCTCCTCCCCGCCCCACCCCGTTTGCCATTCCGCTTTCTGTTTCTATGAACTTGAATACTCTAGATACTTCACCTAAGTAGCGTCATACAATATTTGTCCTTTTGGGGACTGACTGATTTCACTTAGCATTGTGTCCTCAAGGTACATCCATATTAAAAATTGTTTTATGTGTAAAGTAATAGGTTGTTTTAACACAAAGAAGAAGGAAGCAAGCAAGCATGGAAGCTTTTAAGTAAGAAGTGAAAGTCCCAGGGGCGCCTGGCTGGCTCAGTTGGTTAAGTGTCTGACCTGTGATTTCAGCTCAGGTCATGATCTCAGGGTTCATGGGATCAAGCCCCGCATCAGGCTCTGCACTGACAGCTTCGGAGCCTGCTTGGGATTCTCTCTCTCCCCCTCCCTCTGCACCTTCCCTGCTCCAACTCCCTCTCTCTCAAAACAAATAAATAAACATTAAAAAAAAAAACAAGTAAATTTTTTCAAAGTGAAAGCCCCACCCCCACCAGGGAGGGTCAGGTGCACACCCTGGCCCCTCTGTTCTGCTTCATTTCATCAACTTAAAGACACCATCAATTTGATTATAAGACAACACAATTTCAGAGAAGTTAAAAAAAAAAACAAACACCCTAGGAATAGATTTTACACACACACACACACACACACACACACGCCCCCGCATGTTTAGGATTATTTTCACTGGGCTCTTTGCCTGTTTCTCTTGCTTGGGCAGACACACGGACCTCTGGCTTCCTTTCTCATGCCGACGCTACCGAGGACCATGACCCCACCCTTCCTGGCTGCACCACCGTCCCTCCCATCAGTCAGGCCCTTCTTGCACCTGACACATTTCGTGCCCGCATTTCGTGCCCACGTGTACGCATTTCGTGCCCACGTGTGGGATTCCTAAAAGTAGGAGGATGTTTAAAATTTTGATTGGCGTCAGTTTGCTTTCCCCAAAGGTTGTGCCGGTGCAGTCAGCCACCTACAGCTTTTGAGAGGGCCTTTCAAGCAACTTTGAAGACAGAACCTCTGGCCCAGCACCCATCCCTCCCACAGATGGGGAAACTAAGCTCGCAAGAGACAAGGACCTTGTCTCATGTCACAGGTGGCAGAGCTGGGACTAGACCCAGGCCTTATTATCCTGGCTGTTGTTGCTCAGAAATGACCCACCGGAGGCCGTCTCAGTCTCCTGGTACTCTCGCTCTCTTGCTCCAACACCTTCCATGGCTCCCTAGTGCCTACGAGACACATTCTAAATTCAACTCACCGTCATCTGGGGCTACTACCTTCAAGGTCATGAGTTCTGCCACTGCACGGTCCCGGTCTCTGCCCTGCTGCATTATTGAGCACCTACTGCTATGTGCCGGTCTCCATGAATAAACATCACTTCTACCTGTTTTGACCGAGAAAAGAGGAAGAATCGAAATAAAAAGCATTTATTGGGCGTCTGAGAATTGCAATTTGGGGAGCACAGATTCAGGGAGCAACCCAAATTGTGTCCCTTTGAGGAATAAAAGCCAGGGGGTCGTTATTAGCAAATTGTAGAAGTATTAGGAAGACCACACAAGTTGTTTTCCAAACATTACGATTGGAAGAGAGAATGACATTTTACAGTGCGTCAATTTTCTAGTACATTACGACAGTTACTAGGAAAATATCCAGTTTTTCTCAAGAACGAGGGTGCAACAGTTCTGGGTTCAGTCATATGCCTTTGTCTAGTTTAACAGTTCAGTAGCTCCTGTGTCAAAAGCAGGATGACGTTTTCAGCCGCAAATAAGGTTTCGTGTTCAGGGATTTTTCTCAGGTTCACGCTGGGGACCTCAGGCAAGCTATTTTAAGGGTATGACCCTCACTTTCCTCCATGCTTAAGGATTCACGGACCCCGTCTGAGCCCCAGCGCTCTGCCCAGCGCCTGACTCAGTGAGTGCTCGTTAATGGGAACTGTCCTTTTTATCAGGATTGGCGGTCCCCCATCTGGGTGCCCACGTCCCATTCAGCATTCTGAATGTCCCACATTCTCGCGCTCACCTCACGGGAGCTGCCTGGCAGTTTTACGGAGGCAGAGCTGATATATATAATCTACACAACCACTAGCTGGGAAATGGGTACATGGATGGTCTTTGGGGGGTCCCGAGAGAGTGCGAGTTCCAGGGGGTTCTTGGGCCCCTTCTAACGGAGGGGGGCGGGGAGTTCCAGGTGGGTCTTGGCCCAGGGGTCCCTGAGCAGGATCTGAGGAGGGCAGGTCCTTGGGGGTGGGGAGGACTGTTCTGGCCGGCAAAGCCCCCAGAATCCACGCAATGATTGCCTCCCGCACTGGGTCTGGCCTCTCTCTGCCAACAACTGGCTGTGGGATTTTACACAAAGAGCCTCTTCTCTCCGGGTCTCAGTTTCCCCAGCTGTCCTACAGGAAGCCGGGTCCTGTTCCCCCGCCGAGATGTGGGCACACGGGAGGTCAGGCAGGAACGGAAAGCCCTCTGCAAACTGTTAAGTGCCGTGCTGTGTGCAGGCACAGCCATTGGGGGGGGGGGGGGAATGCGCGGCGGGGGGGCGCCGGGCTTGCCTTGGGGGCCCATCGGGGGGCCCCCCGGGCCGGGCCCCCCCCCCCCCCCCGGGGGGGGGGGGGGGGGGGAATGCGCGGCGGGGAGGCGCCGGCCTTGCTCTGGCTTCCCATCGGGGCTCACCCCGGTCCGGCCCCCCACCCCCCTCCCGGTCCGCTCTCCCTCCCTCCTTCCCCCCTCCCTGCCCTCGCGGAGCGCTGGCTCCCGGCATGCTGCGCGCTGCTGACAGCCTTATAAATAGTCGCCTTTGCGGGCGGCCGGCGAGGACGGGCAGGGCACCACTGGCCCCGGCGCCCGCCGCACCCCTCCCCCAGGTCAGTGTGTGCCCGTGTGCATGTCTGGGCGCGCGGGGGGCGCCTCTGCGGGGCGTGGGGAAGCCGCGCGCGCCCGGGGGGGGGGGCGCCAGCCTGTGTGTGTCGGGGCATCCTTGGGGTTTGTGCGGCTGTGTGTTTGTGTCGGTGGTTATGATCTGTGTGTATTTTGGCCTGTCTGTTCTCCCCAGGCTCTGCTCTGGGTGTTTGTGCCACCCTGCGTGTGCCCCTGCGGGGGGATGTGTGTTGCCGTCCTTCCTAGCCTCCTAGACAGTCGCCCCTTTGTCCCGGCTGGCACTCCTGGGGCTGGGGCTCCAGGTCCCTGCCCTTGGCACGTCCCAGCTGGGGCCCGGGGAAGGGGGCTGTGGCCTGACTCCCTGCCCCGGAGGACCTGGCAGGGGCAGCCTTTGTGATTGGAGGAGCTGTCCTGCCATGTCATTTTGAGCGCTGGGGGGGGGGGGGGCCGGGAAGACCCCCGGATGATTGGTGAGGGCTCTAAGGGAGCCCTAGGGCCACCTTTTCTGAGCACTGCTCAGATACCCACTCAGGACTCTCCAGCAGGAGCAGGTCACGGCCTGGGGATACAGGCCCAGAGAGGGGACACCAGGTGCCCAAGGTCACACAGCTGAGCGATGAGCCCTTAGGTCGCTGTCCCCCCAGGCCCCTGTTCCCCAGGCCCCTCAGCAGACCACCCAGTCATGAGAGGAGTTGCTGCAGCCTGGATCGGGGGCCTTATAAGGTCTGGGTGCTGAGCCTGTAACCCAATTCCGTCCTGGACCCCTGGCCTCTGTGATGCCTCCTCACGACTCAAGTTATTTTGGACGAAGGAAGTGGCAGGTGCCAGCAGGACAGAGGGGCTTAGGTTACTGGGAAGAGGCAGGGCAAGGTGGGTTGGAGGCCACTCCTCAGGGTCACTGCAGGCTCTCCCTGGCCTGGGGACCCTCCTCCTCCCTTGCCAGCTGCTGCGGGCCATTGGCAGCGTCTGCCCTTCCCTAAGCACACTCAGCAGGAAAAAGGCTATAACTCATGGCCCATGAGTGGTAGGACGGCCAATAAACCTGCTGAAAGACCTACTGGGTGCCAGGCCTAAAGCAGCAGAAAATGCAACCCTGAGTTTGACCCCAGCCTGGCTCTGGAGCAAGTTTCTCCTTCTCTCCGAGCCTCAAATCCATTCCAAGACAGCTGGGAGGTGGAGTGAGGCCCCCAGCCCTATGCTCAGCCTGGGGCCAGGGCCGGTCTGGTGGGGCACACAGGCCTGCAGTTCCACAGAGAGGTCCGATACCGTGTGGTATGTGCTACGCTGGGGGCATTCAAAGGAGGCACCTGCCAGTGTGGGAGCGGAGGACGGAGTCCAGGAAGACTCCCTGAAGGAGGTGACACCTGAACTGGGTCCTAAACAATAGCACCTGGGGAGAGGCATCCAGGCATCAGGTGCAACAGTAGCTGGGCCTGGAGGTGGGACGCAGTCATGGTGGGTGAGGAAGCTCCAAGCGGTTCAAGCGGTGGCTGTGAAGGCTGCAGAGGGTGGGGGTGGGGTGGGGGCCAGGTTACTGAGTCCTGTCAGCCATGTTAGGGGCCCAGGCTTTATCTTTGGAGCCAAGGAGCCACAAGTGGAAGGGTTTTAAGCAGGTGAGCGATGTGGTCTGATGCTTATCACAGAAAATCCTGCGGACTGCCTCGTGGGATACGGGGAGACCCACGGGAGGCTGGGGCAGTGGCCAGGTGCCCTGCTTGGAACAAGGAAATGGTGTTGAGGACACAGACTGCAGAGAGGATCGGGAGCAAGAGGGTTGGGATGTGGGTGTGCAGGGTGGAAGTCGGGTGTGAGAGAAGACAGGGCCTCTGGCTGGGTAATAGGGCACGGAGCTGGGGACGTGGGAAGGTCTTGGGGCCTGTCCAGGGGCTGTAGACTCACAGGGCTGGGGAGGGAGGCCGGGGCTGCCTCGGCAGAGGCAGGGGTCCTGGGAACCTGGAGCCAAAGTGAGAGCGAGGAGTAAAGGGCCTGGGGTTGCGGGCATGCCAGGCGGGAGGAATGCTGTGGCAGGCGTCAAAGGTCAAGGCAAGAGTGGCTGTGATGGTAGCTGGTAGCCTTGGAGAGGGCCGGCGGGGGGGTGGGGTGGGGAACGGAGGCCAGAGGTGTGTAGGTGGTAACTGTAGGTGGGAGGGGACGTTGAAGCAGAGTGGGGTCCCCAGAGGGGTCGGGGTGGACTCACATGCTGAGGAACACGGTCCTCGAGGGGGTGAGGGGGCAGGGGCCATGTGGGGGGTGGTGAGAGCCGGGGATCCCCCATGACAGCTGTACAGGGCTGTGTCCCCCATGAGCAGCTCCTACAGCTTCCTCCCCCTCGGGCCTCCGTGATGTCCCTTTGAGCGTCCTTGTCCAAACCCCACCCCAGGTGAGATGTATTGCAGCTCAAGTCCCCCCTCTCTGGCCTCCACAAGTCTTTCCTCCTGGCCCCGGGGGAGCATCACCAAGGTGTTGGGCAGACGCCTGTTTTCTGGGACTCACAAAGGGAGCGGCCCAGCAGGTGCTGATGTCACTGTTTCCGTCCCTCAGCACCGCCCTCACCACCCGGCTCCTCCAGCGGGAAAAGGTGGACAGGAGGGGGCTGCCGCCCTTTTGTTACAGGTGAGGCAGCGGACACACACGGAGGAAAGGTGACTTTCCCGAGGTCACCCAACCTGCCGGGGGCCTTCGCTGCCCGGTGCCGCTGGGAGCATCAGGGCCTGGGGCACACCGTGGGGCTGGGCAGGAGCAGAGGCAGGATGGAGGAGAGCCCCCCTCACCGGCCCCACCTGTGCCCTTGTCTTGCAGAGCGCTGACTCGGCTCCCCAGACCTCAGCAGGATGGAAGGTAGTGAGTCTCTTCTTTGCTGCTCATTGCCTGGGCCTCAGTGTGCCCATCTGTTAAGGGGGCGTGCTTTCAGGAGACATTCTGGGAAGGGTTGGGGGAGGTTCTGGGGCTGCCAGAGGGGCCCGTCTGGGAGCCTCCGACATCCTCCTCAGGCATCTCACGGGATGCGCCAGCTCCAGGATTAATTTCAGAAGCGATGAGGCCTCCTTGAGGCTCCTGAGGGCCCCACAGCTCACCTCCTACACTGGTATTTATAGAGCTGAATCCCTGCCTCTTTCTAGAAAGGGTGGGCGCTAGCAAGGGGAGGCTAGCCCTGGGGAGAGGCCCCAGGTGTGTAAATGCCAAGCCTAACAAGGACGAGGCAGCGCCCAACGCCTCTGTGGGACTCAGTCTCCCCGTTGTCCAGAGAGGGTGGGTCTTGAGGATGTCTGGGGCCCTCCCGGCTGCTATGGGCTGGGACCTGGAGGGAGACATGGGGCCAGCAGGGAGCCTGGCAGGCCCGCCTCCTGGCGGCATCATGGCCCCATCCTTGGCGTTGTGCCTCAGCCTGGGTGGCCCTTAAAGGAGCCCGCTGCTGCCGCCCGAGCCGGCGGTCACCCTGCCACCCCTCGGGCTCCGAACAGCAGCTGCCGCCGGGCTGTGGCCTCCCCCACCTCCAGGTGGTAGCCGGCCCACGGCAGGCAGCTGATGGGAGCCCTCGGGAGAAGTTGTTCTACAGATAACTCCTCTGGGTTTCCAGCCTCGGGGCCAGAGGGCCCCTGGGAGCTGCCAGGCCTTCGTCAGTGGGGAGGGACAGAGAGCCAGAGAGGGCCGGGGACTCCTTTCCTAAGGTTACGCAGTGAGGACCTTCTTCTCCCCTGAGAAGAGGGGAAGGCCGGGCCGCCTGGGAAGAGGGCCCAGCTTCCGGTTCTGGGTCTGGCGCCCTTGGAGCAGGCCTCAGTTTCCCTCCGTCTGGTGAGGCTGTGGTCCTGCTGAGTTCTAAGGGCAGGGCTGAGGCGGGAGCATCAGCGCACCTCCCACTCTGGGCAAGGGTTCTTTGTGCCCAACGCAGCCGGCTTCCCTGGCAACCGTCTCCGGGGCAACGTATGTTGTGGTTGCCGACTCCACGTTTGAACCGCCCAGGCCCAGGGAAGGCGGGCGATGGGCAGGCCTGGGGTCTGGGAGGCAAAGGGTAGGGGACACAGCAGAACGGGAACCATGGGGGCCTGCTGCGTGAGAAACCTCCACAACACGGAAGACTGTAAGGCCAGAGGTGACCCGCCCTTGCCCAGCCGCCCACAGGGAGGGGCTGCGAGGGTGGGCGTCCGAGCCCCTCAGAGGCTCCAGGCTTTAGAGGGCCGGGCCCAGGCCTGTCCCTCCCGAGGTGCTGTTTGCCAAGCGAGTGACTGAACTCTGCTCCCCTCTTCTCCCCCACAGAGAAGCTGAAGAAAACCAAGATCATCTTTGTGGTGGGTGAGTCCAAGGCAGGCGGGGAAGGCGGCCAGCAGGGAGGCTCTTTGCAGGCGTCGGTGGGAGCCTGGGCCTGGGGTGGCACCCCGGGGCGCTGCCCCTTCTCTGCGGGGTGACCCTATCCCTGCGGCGGCCCCATTTCCTGGGGCTTCTGAACGGGTGGGCGCTTGCAGGAGGGCCCGGCTCGGGGAAGGGCACCCAGTGTGAGAAGATTGTCCAGAAGTACGGCTACACCCACCTCTCCACCGGGGACCTCCTGCGGGCCGAGGTCAGCTCGGGCTCGGCCAGGGGCAAGATGCTGTCGGAAATCATGGAGAAGGGGCAGCTGGTGCCACTGGTGAGTGGGCCCGGTGGGGTGGGGGGTGACGGTGGCCCTGAGTGGGCTCCAGCCAGCAGAGCCCATGACACTCTGCCTTGACCTTCCCTGGCTCCAAACACTCCTGGCTTTGGTCCTCATGGCCCTCAGCAGAAAATTCCTTCTAGAAGCTCCCAGAGCCTCTAGGACCCTGCCCTGCTGACCCCTTTAGCCTCACTCCACCCACTCAACCCCCCTCTCCCCAGCTCTCCGCCCTCCAGCTGCCCTGGCCTTTCTGTCCCGTCCAACTCATTATATTCCTTCCTGCCTGGAATGTTCTTTCCTCCTCAGCTTTCAGACCCTCCTGGCTCCACAGATTTGGGCTCAGACCCCCTAATTTTATCACTCCTTCTCTGCCCATTCAACCTGTGCCATGTTTGGAAATTGGTGAACCGGCCTCACCACACTGAGCTTCTTGAGAAAGGCCTGCTTTGTTCACAGTGGTGTCCTCAGAGCCCTGGACGGGAGCTGGCGGGGAACAGGGGCTCCATCGATATTATTGAATGAATGAACGAATGGGTGAATGAATGATTTAATCAGCCAGTCAAGCCTTCACATTCAAAGGAAGCTTCCTGGAGAGAGAGGCTTGTTGGGAACTTCTTTATTAGGGCAGAGGCCTAGAAGAAGGCGGAGGGAGAGGGGCTCATGACCCCTCCATCTTTTCCGGTGCCCCCAGGAGACAGTGTTGGACATGCTCCGAGATGCCATGGTGGCCAAGGTAGATACTTCCAAAGGCTTCCTGATCGATGGCTACCCTCGGGAAGTACAGCAGGGAGAGGAGTTTGAGCGGAAGGTAAGTGCAACTTGGTGGGTGCACTTGGGAGCTGTGATGTGTGCAAAATGGGAAGACACAGTTGGCAGCTGCCTTAAGGAGCAGAATGGAGATTAGAGAGAATGTACCCTCCAAAAGTGGGGCTTGGCACCTTAGGAACACAGAGGGCCAGGGAGTGGGAGGGACAGGGCTGGAAGGCTCCAGCTGGCATGGGGAGAAGAGAATCTACGGGGCAGGGCAACCAGGATGATGTGGGAGAGGCGATTCAGGCCTGGCTGGAGGCCTCCAGTGCCAGGGAGGGGAGTCCAGTCTCCTTCCGTGGGCCGCGGGGAGTCTGTGCAAGGCCTAGAAAAAGTAGGCCTTGAGGATGACGGCCCCGAGTTGCCTGAACAGCTTCCCACCAGGAAAACAGGGTGGGGGCACCTCTCCCAGACATACGCACACAGGCCCCAAGCACATGCACGTGTGCGTGCACATACACAGCACAAAGCCACAGGCACATACACACATGCACACAGGCACGCATATGTGTGCACACACGTCTGGCAACGCACATACATGTACGTACATGGACACAGCTCACTGATACACAGGGATATACACATACGCACACACGTGGGCACACACACATACACCCACGCCTCCGGTGTCACAGGTCATACTAGGGAAACAGGGCTGCAAGCAAGTGCAAGGGTGGGGGCTGGGCTCAAGGAGGTTTTCTTGGCAGAGGGACTCCTCCCTGGCCTTGTGGGGAGGACCAGGCATCCCGACAGGCTGGGGCAGGACCAGACCCCCAACCCCCACTTCCCAAGCCTGTGATGCTGGGGCCACCTTTGGGCTTCCATAACTTTGAGCCTCCTCCAGTGGAAGGAGATTGGATTTCCTGACCTTGAAGTGCCCGCAGGACCTCAAGAAAGTGTCTACCCTGCTCTGGGCCTCGGTTGCCCTGTCTTTGAAATGGAAGCGGGCTGGGCTTCCTTCAGACTGGGAGGCCATGGACCCTGTGGTCAGGTGCTAGGCAGCCTCAAGGCACGTCCTGTCATGACCCACCCATACCAGCTGTGTGACGTCACCTCTGACCCTCAGGGCCACATCTAGAAAATGAGATTACTAAAAGTCTCCTTCCTTCCTGGGGCTGTTGGGGGCGCCACTGTGGGTGGTGGGCTCAGCGCAAGGGCCCAGCCCTGCCATGGGCTCCGGGGGTCCTGGCAACACGTCTTCTCGGATCTGGACACCAGGGGGCATCAGGGCCTCACCGAAGGAGGACAGGTCGGCCTCCTTCCTTGCCCTTCCCAGCTTATTCCAACAACAGTGACGTTATTCAGAACCCCCCCCCCCCCCCGAGCTCGGCAGCCCGTCACCCCTCAGTCAAGTCCTGTCCAGCCCTGCTGTGTCAGACAGATGCCTTGATGTCCTTAGGGGCTCCTGGACTGGCAGGGGAGAGGGACACTGAGTGAATCACCAGAGGCCTGCTGAGACGTTCTGGGCAGAGAAGTAAAGGGGACTCCAGGGTGTGCCCCAGAGGGCTGGGGACGGTGGGCGGGGTGGGGGGGCGTGGGTCGCATCTGGGCAGACTGCCCCAGAGGAAGGAGATTTTAGCTCAAATCTGAAGACAAGTACTTGGGATTGAGGATGAGGGTTCTTGGCATGAGCGAAGGCCTGGCTTGGGAGGAGGTTGACGGGAGCCTAGACTTCAGAGAATCGGTGTGACTGAAGCCAGGAGGGCAAGGGAGTGGGAAACACAAGGTGAGGAAGGCGGGAGGCCCTCTCTGAGGGCACTGGAGAGCTATGGGAGAGGTTGGAGCAGAGGAGTAGTTTTAGGAAGGTCCTTTAGGCTGCCCTGGGGAAGGGCTTGATGGTCTGATCTGAGTGGGTCTCAGGTGAGGCCTCGGGCATGGGAGGATGGGGAGGAGATGGCCCCGGGGACGGGAATGGGGCCCCTGTGACTACCGCCCCACCCGCAGATCGGACAGCCCACGCTGCTGCTGTATGTGGACGCAGGCCCTGAGACCATGACCCAGCGGCTCCTGAAGCGCGGAGAGACCAGCGGGCGTGTGGATGACAATGAGGAGACCATCAAGAAGCGACTAGAGACCTACTACAAGGCCACGGAACCTGTCATCGCCTTTTATGAGAAACGTGGCATCGTACGCAAGGTGCGCCCCCTGCAGGCCGCGGGTAGCCCCAGGAATCTGGAGTTTTGCCTGGGTTGGCCAAAATCCCCGTGACCCTGGGCCAGCCCTCCATTCCGGGCCTTGGTTTCCCCGCTGGCTCCGTGATGGGCTGCTGTCCCCTGTGGCTGGGCTCAGAGAGTCAGGCCACACCTCTGGGGGAAGTGAGCCCCTGCCCCAATGAGGCCCGCATGGTCCTCCCCAGCATCTCTGCCCTCCCGGCCGTCTCCCTGCAGGTCAATGCCGAAGGCTCCGTGGACAATGTCTTCTCCCAAGTCTGCACCCACCTGGATGCCCTCAAGTAGCAGCACTGGAGCCCCTTCCCCTGCTGCCCGCCGCCCCCCCACCCCCACCCCGTGCTGACCTGAGGCTGTCCTGGCCTGAGCTCAACGCCTCCACCCTGCCCGGCTGGAGCACAGACAGAGGAAGCCACTTTATCCTGTTTTCATGGACAGCCAAGCACTAAAGGAATTTCCAAGGACATTCGGTTTTATTCCTTTTTCTTTGCTTTCACTGGAGTTGATCCACGTGATGTGGCCTCCAGCAGCCCCTCACCCTCCCAGTCCTCCTCAAGCCCCTCCCCCCGCCTCTGCCAGCTGCCCTCCCCTAGTACCAGGGGAAGGAAGACCCAGGGCCCTTCCTCACCCAGGGCATGCTGGGTCTGGGGGTCCTGGGTGACTGAGGCAGGATCCTTGCTCTCAGGGACTTGTGGTCAGGCAGAGCTGGGCCTTGGACTGCGTTCCTCTGAACCCTTGCTGTGCGGCCTTGGCCCTGACCCCTCATGTCTCTGAGCATGTTTTCTATGCTGAACCCCACTGGGGCCTGTGTGCAGTAGGCAGTGAGGTTATAGGCTGTGGGGGGCTTCCTGGGCAGTGGGGGTGGCACATGTCAGCTGGCTGGGGGGGCAGTAATTGGCCTCCTGCGTGTAAGAAGTTCTGAGCGTCCGGAAAGGGCATCGAGATGGAAGGGTCCGCGGCACCTCCCTGAGGAGGCGAGACACGGAGGGCCTCCCACCGGTGCCTCCCCGGACGGGTCACAGCCTGCCCTTTCTGAGCCCGTTTCCAAATCTGAGTTAGGGTCCGTGCCCCCTGCACCCCTCCCCTCCCAAGGGTAGGACGAGAACACGCTGAACGGGGGTGTGGGAGAGAGTCACCGGGGCCTGCGGGAGCCGAGACCAGAGCGGCCTTGGGGATGGTGCAGGGCTGGGGTGCTTCGGGGACGCCCCAGAAATCCCTGGGGGAGAAGCACCTTCCCTTTTCTGTTCTTTCACTCTGTGACCTCCTCACCGAGGAAGGCTCAACTTGGTGCTCACGTGTCCTTAACACCTGTCCTCGTCCCCGCCGACTCCCTTTAGAGCCAAGAGAACCTTCAGCGGGCCACACCTGGCTGGACCGAAACGCGACGTGGGGCTGACTGGGCCCAAGGTGTGTCCCCTTTTATTTATGGCAAGCGTGGCTGGTCTCCCTTCTGCATTAGTTATTTAAACTTTCCTTCAAAATAAACATATTTAAGTTACGAAAGGTGAGTCTATTGAAAGAGTAACAGCACAAGTAGAGCCAGCACAGGGGAGGTAGGAGAAGGCAGGCGTCGTGGGGGGATGAGCCTTCTGGCCCCGGGTGGGTGCGGGAGGGCAGGTCTCTGCTGCTGGCCTCTGTTCCCCGTGCCAGCTGGGGTGTGCGGGGGGGCCTCGATCTCTCTGTGACCTCCCACCTCCGGCAGCGGGCACATCCGTCCAAGCGGGCTAACACGCGCCCACGCACCTAGCGCAGGGCTGCGGGGATCAACGGGGGAGAGATGCGGAGACAACACGCCGAAAACGAGCGGCGAAACACACGCCAAAGATGACGAGGCGCTACGGAGATCACCTGACAGAAGCCTCTTCGTCATCTGTGTTTTTTTCTAGTTACTGCACTGTCACTCCAGGTGTGTCCCAGGTGAATGGCAATCTAGGCTGACCCCAACTACTGTTCACCGCGGAATCACTTTATGCGCTTAAAACAAGAAGCGGCTTGAAAAAACACGGAAATGTAAAAGCTCCAGTGACCGTCACCCGGTCCCTGCTACCACAGACACTCCCTTTGAGGGTGTCCTCTGTGCGTGTTTTCCAGAGCACCGGGCTGTGCTGGCAAGACAGGCTCATAAGCCGCCACCTGCTGGGATGTGCCCCCCCCCCCCCCCGCCACCTCCAGCGCCAGGAGGGGGCCCGTGCTCACAAAACTGAGATCAGTTTTCAGCAGCTGAGTGCACAGGGGTCCTCTGGTGGCAGCGGGTTCCTTGAGCTGGAGCTCTGGAGCGGGGCCTTGAACATTCCTAGGAGCTCTCTTCACTGTAAGAGAGGGCACGGAAGGGTAGAGGGAACAGCTCTGCCGAGTCACAGAGGCCTGTTGGATGGAATACGGGTGAGAAGGGGGTACAGTAGCAAGAGACAAGCCCGGAGGGGCCAGATTTGCAGGGCCTTGAATGCCGACCCAAACATCTAGTCTCTCCTCTAGGGGCAATGGGAGTCTCAGAAAGAGGATTTTTGTTTTGTTTTGTTTTGTTTTCAATGTTTATTTCTGAGAGAGAGAGAGCGTGAGCAGGAGAGGGGCAGAGAGAGAGGGAGACACAGAATCGGAAGCAGGCTCCAGGCTCTGAGCTGTCAGCACAGAGCCCGACGCGAGGCTCGAACCCACAAACCGTGAGATCATGACCTGAGCCGAAGTCAGACACTCAACCGACTGAGTCACCCGGGGGGGGCCCCATTAGTGAAAAATTGTAAACAAATTGAAAATTGGAGGAAATAATACAGTGAACACCAACGTACAGTAATTGTTATCATTTCCCTATATTTCCTCATTACTGTTTTACTTTTGACAACGTATTTACAGTAAATTACAAATGAGAAAAATTCTACCCCTAAAGTATGACTCTAAAAAGCAAGGACATCTTCCTACCTGACCACAACTCAGAGCTTCAATAACACTAAGTTAACACTAATATCATAATATATAATAGTCCACATGCAACTTGCCCCAAAGGTCCCCAAAACGCATCTTTGTTGAAATCAGGGTGCAACCCAGGACCCCACGCCGCATTCGGGTGCGATATTTGTCAGGCCTCTGTCAACCAGGATGGCCCTGCTCTGGTGATGACACAGGCCTGTGGCGGGACCAGTTGTCCTGCAGAAAACTCCTTCCAGATTCACCCTTTGCTTCCTTCTGGTGTCGTCTCACCTTCCCTATCCCCTAAATTTCTTGGAAATTGGAAGTTAGTTGTAAAGGCCTCATAGATTCAGGCTCAGCCTCGGAGACAAGAACACCTAAGGGATGAGGCCCAGGAAGGACTTTAACCCCGGGGAGGGGAGGGGAGGGGATGGTGGGGGCGCCTGGCTGGCTCCGTCGGCTAAGCGTCTCTTGATTTGGGCTCAGGTCATGACCTCGTGGTTCATGAGATCGGGCCCCATGTCGGGCTCTGTGCTGACAGGGGCAGAGCCCGCTGGGGATTCTCTCTCTCCCTCTCCCTCAAAATAAATAAACAAACACTAAAAACAACAACAACAGGCAGGGGACCAGAACTGCGTGCACCCAGGCTTCCTGTGCAAGCAAATCTCCCGGGTCTGGTTAAAAAGCTGATTCTGCTTCAGCAGGGCAGGTCTGGGCAGCGAGGCTCAGCTCCTGGTCCGTGGCCCACACTTTGGGTAGCTCAGGGAGAACCTGCTCAGCGGAGGCCTGGACCCTGGGGGTGGGGAGGAGAGAGAGTCTCTGGGGTCAGGGAGCACGAGTGCTCATCCACTAGCGTGGGCTGGGAGGTGGGTGTGGCACTGGATCCAGACAGGAGACAGTCCCGCTGTCACACTCTTCACGTCTCTAGGGACGCTCCAGGCAACAGCTTTGTCCCAAAGTGCCGGAACATTATGACCAGCCAGAGACCTCAGGGTCTCAGAGAGAGAGTGCTCTGCGGGGGTGGTGGCCTCAGATGCCCCCCCCGGCTGGACTGCGCCCCTAAGTCTTGGCCTCAAGGGCCCTGAGGGCCTGGCCGGAGGCGCTGAAGTGGAGAGGAAGGAAGCGGGGAGCAGAGGAGGCCAAGGCTGCGGCCTCCCAGTCTCGAGAGGGGCCTCGAGTAAACAGGAAGGCCTGGCGGCTCCACAGTGGGGGGGCTTTGCAGGGGTGGGAGGCCAGAGCCCTACTGCACATGTGCAGCCTGTGACCACGGGGCTTCCTCGTTGGGGAAGCTGACCCAGAGAGGCGGTGTGACTTGTCCCAAGCCACACAGCAAAGCAGAGGCACAGGGCTAGACCCTCACCTGCCCCTCCTGCTTCTTCCCTCTTCCTAGGGTTCTGGTTCAGGGTCTCCTGCCTGTGGTGCCCTCCATGGTTCATGGGGTGCTGGGTGAGTCTCTCCCCTTCGTGGGCCTCAGCTTCTCTTTCTATGAACCCTGAGCCCTATAACTTAGAGGTTCTAGGATCCTGGCCCGGTAGAATTCTTTCGCCTCCTAGGTGGTCCTCGTGGGCTCTTCAGACTTCGGGGAGTGGGTTTCATCAGAAAAGCCAACCTGTACTTGGGGAGTGACAGGGAGACTCTGAGGGACTTCTCTCTTCTGGAACACAGCAGCGTCTGGCGGGACCACTGACCCTTGTGACCACCACGTACCCTTGGGGGGGTCATTCCCCCCTCATCAGAGACCCTGTCCTTGGGCTCAGAATGCTTCCAGCACCCACCCCCTGGCACCTGAGGATCACAACGTATGCACAGCCCGTTCATTTATTCCCATCAGTACTTAGCCAAATACCTCCCATGGGCCGGGCACTATTGGAAGTGATGGGCGTTTGGTAGCGAACAGAGCAAGGCCCTCGCCCTCATGGAACTTGTGTTCTCGAGAGGGAGACGGACAAAGTAAATACCGTATAGTGTGTCAGATGGAGACCAGTTGCTGACGTGAGGAGGGGGCTATTTTAAAGGCAACAGTTGCAGAAGTCCTCACTGACTGTGCGACATTCGATCTGTGGTTTAAGAATGAGGAGCGAGCGCCCTGGGCTTATCTAGGGGAACAGTGTTTCAGAGAGAGGGAATGGCAAGTGCAAAGGCCCTGAGGTGGGCATGTGCTTGGCGCATTCAAGGAACAGCACGGGAGGCCAGGGCGGCTGAGTGTGGGGGGCCAGGGGGAGAAGAGCAGAAGATGAGGTTGGAGAGGGGACGGGGAAGCCTCGCTGGCCATTTGAGGGGGCGGAGCAGAAGGGCTGGAATCTGACTTCACTTTAACAGCCTCCCTTTACTGTGTGCAGAATGGCCTAGGGTAAGCCGTGGGGGCGGGTGGGGGGGCAGGGAGCTCCATGAGGTGACGACAATATTCCAAGAGGTTCTGGTCCTGACCGGGGCAGTAGCTGTGGGGTAGTGGGAACCCCCCAAACACTGGGAATTTGGGAGCGCCGCCACCAAGGTTTGCTTGTAGGTTGGACAAGAGGTGTGAGAGTCAAGGTTCACCTCAAAGCTTGAGCAATGAGAGGGGGGCGGAATCGTCACGTTCTGAAGATGGAGACACAGAGGCAGGAGCGCTTGGCAGAGAATCAGCAGAACGTGGTTTTGGACACGGGAAGTCTGAGCTGCTTAATCACAATCCAGGAGCCTGGAGCCTCGTGGGGGGGGGGGGGGGGGGGGAGCGTGGTGGCGGGAAATAGAAAGCTGGGAGCCATCAGTATATAGATGGTACTTAAAGCCATTTGTCTGGATGAGGGCGCCCAGAACAGCCCTTCTCAAGCTTAATGTGCACATGAGTGCCCTGGAGGTCTCGATAAAATGCAGGTTCTGAGTCAGCAGGTCTGGGTCAGGGCCAGAGAGAAGCTCTCAGGAGATATTAGGGCCGCACTTGACAGGCGGGGATCTAAGGCATCATCTTTTATGGCCAAGACCTGCTGGTGGATAATGAAACCAACAGAGTGGCTTGTGATCAGTGTTTCAAAGAAAACGAGACAAGATGGACGCGTATCATAAGGGCATATACATATGTTCACAAAACGCTGGAATTGTTTGAGTCCGAGTCCCAGGATTTGTGTGGGGACACAACATCATGGTCCCCAAGGTTTGAGAAAACCTGACCCTGAAGTGAGGGTAAACAGAGAAGGGAAAAGGCCGAGTAAGGATGAGGAGGAACCAGCAAAGAGGCAGATAAGGCGACCAGGGAGATGGGAAGAACACCAGGATGGAATGTTCTAGAAGCTAAGGGAGGAACTACAGGCCCAGATTTGCTTTGCCCCAGCCCTGGTGTCATGTGCACTTGAGTCTCCGTCTCCTCCATTGTAAAATGGAGACGTGGGGCGCCTGGGTGGCACAGTCGGTTAAGCGTCCGACTTCAGCCAGGTCACGATCTCGCGGTCCGTGAGTTCGAGCCCCGCGTCGGGCTCTGGGCTGATGGCTCAGAGCCTGGAGCCTGTTTCCGATTCTGTGTCTCCCTCTCTCTCTGCCCCTCCCCCGTTCATGCTCTGTCTCTCTCTGTCCCAAAAATAAATAAATGTTGAAAAAAAAAATTTTAAATGGAGACGT